AGTCGTTCATGCCCATAAATTCCGCATGAACTCCATAATTTGAGTATATTTGAGAGGAGTAGTATCTTTAAGTTCTAAATCTTGAGTATTGAGTTCCTAATCCTTTTGAGATTATATTCCTAATCATGGGACTACTACATGTTACCCATGAAGGTCCTTGAGTTGAGTTTTTCAAGGCCATAATTTCCGCATGAACCCTCTGAGTTGAGCATTCTTGAGATGAGTAGTATCATTGACTCCTTGAGTTCTGGGTATTTATGGTTATTTAAAACCTTGAATTGAGTCGTTCACATCCATAATTCGGCATGAACCCTATTTTGAGAAGTCTTTTACAATTACTCAAAATTTGTTTAAAGGCTTGAGTAAATGACTATGAGGATGAGTAGAGTCAAGTTCCATTTTCTTTAAAATGATATATGGGAACTAAGTATTCGCAAGAGTACATGTTTTTACATTTAAGAAGAGAGGAAATACCGATTTTCAAAGAGTTCATGAGCAGTTTGAGTACTATCTCTTTTTAGAGAAATATTTTTATGAAAAGGAAATTTTTTCTTTAAAACATATGAGCTAAGTTAAATTTTGGGAGTAGTATTGAACACCGATATGGGGGAGAGTTCTAACAACTCACAACCCTCATAAACCATGTAGCCAACATGGGTAGAAAGGGTCATAATTTTTAGATGATTCCTTAATGATTTTAAGCATAGACTAGTAGATCCACTTAGTAGAGGAGTTCTATACCCCGCAAGGTATAGGACAATTCTGGCAGCGTGGGCGAGACGTTGTATCATCACATAGCTTATAGCGATGATTGTCAGTTAGAGAATCACCCAAATAAGAGTTATTATTGTATTTTTACATACAAATGAGTTGTTATTGTATTTTTACATACAATTGAGTTGCTATCTATTATTTTACAGTTTTCCATATATTGCATCTTTTATTGTTGTTTTATCCTTGAGTATCAAGAGTTGAGTATCTTATTATTGAGTTGAACCTTATTTCTCTGAGTTGAGTTGAACTATGTTTCACAGAGTTGAGTATCTTATTATTGAGTTGAGTCGTATTTAGCTAAGTTGAGTTGAACTTTGTTTCACAGAGTTGAGTTCCTTATTATTGATTTGAGCCCTATTTCTTTGAGTTTAGTTGAATTATGTTTTACTGAGTTGAGTATCTTATTATTGAGTTGAGCTATATTTTCTCTGAGTTGAGTTGAACTATGTTTCACTGAGTTGAGTATCTTGTTATTGAGTTGAGCTCTATTTTCTCCGAGTTGAGAAGAGGAAAGTATGTTTCTTTTCCATTAGTTCAAGCTTATCTTTATGCTTTAGAACTCTCTTTACATGCTCATACATTCCATGCACTGAGGCCATTTGGCCTGCATCTTTTATGATGCCGATACATATATTCAGGGTCATCAACAGAAGCTTTATTGATACCACTTGCAGTTCCAGTCAGTTTTGGTGAGCCTTCTTATATTCCAAAGGACTTCACCTTTATCTTACAGTTAGTAGTTTTGCGATGTCGTGGGTCTTGTCCCAATATCCTTTTGTAATAGTAGAGGCTTCATAAATAGATAAAGTTGAGTAGTTTTCAGTATTTATCTTCTTTGAGTTGTTTTTACAAACTCTGAGTCTATCTATTGAGTATAGTTCAAATTATTTTAAAGTTGAGTATTTGAGTTTATTGAATTTAATTCGGTTGAGTTAGTCTTCCACTTGTAGTCAGACAGGATGAGAGTTCGTTTGGGAACCAACAATGGTTCTCGAGTGTCGTCCACGTCCAAGGTGTAGACTCGGATCGTAACATTTAGGTACTTTAATGGATGTCCATTTGAAATTTTCTATAATTCGTCTTGTCATTATAGTAACAAGATGTCCCAGATGATCATGCCAAAGTACAAATGTATTGGAATCAATAAAATTCTTATTTACTATAGAATGTGCCTCAATTGAACTAATTTTTGTCCAATACAAGCCAGAAGATAAAGCAGGGAACTTTTCTATAACACATGTTTGCCCAGAGACGTTTTGGCGATACCAAGATATTCAAGATTTATTACATCCATCGATTGGATATGATAATCATTGTCACTGATATTATCTTTAAAACTCAACAAGTTTCTCCGAAATTTGGGAGAAAATATATCATTATTTATGATGGGTTTAGTTCCCTTAGGCAAAATTACAATGGCTCTTCCAATGCCCTCAATCATATTAGTACTATAAAACATTTATTTTGCCTATACTTAAATGAGAGAAATAGTTCTCATTTTTTAATATCGTATGTGTTGTACCAGAATCAATCAAGAAAATGTCTTCATAATTAGATAACATGCTTTGAGAATTGTCCATGTCTTATTAATTCTTCAAACTTAATTCACTCTTTGAGACGGTATAGTCTCGTGTTGATAATGTGTTATGAAGCTATAGAATAAGAAGAAGAAAGTAGAGAGAAGAATTATCATTTCTCTTGAGGGATTATTTTACAATGAAGAGGACCTCTTTATTTATAGGGGAAAATTAACTTGGTCCCAAAGTTAGGGTTCCTAAATATTCTCTAACATATAGACATTCACTATATTTATAACCAATATATAATTATTATTAAATTTTATTAAATAATGAGTACAAGGCTACAAACACACAAAGGGAGACGTGTATGAATGTAATGAAAGTTTGAAATTAAAATTTTCAAGCGCATTGAGGGGTTTCAAAGAAATAACTAAATAGTAGAGCCGTCAAAATGGGCTTAGCCCATGGGGCCGGTCCAACTCAACCCATTATTGGGGTAGGATTGGGATAGGATTTTTAAAGCTCATTCAAAACTAGGGCTTATAAGTCTTGCTCATATAAGCCCTTGGACCTTGAGGCTTGATCGGGGCTAGGCCTGGGTCGGCCCATGGGCCAAAACTTTTTATTTAAGGGTAACTCACAATAATCTCACTAGTATAATCTCATTACATAAATACACGTTATGTTGTAATATTATGAATCTTACAAGATTTTGGTACGTCAAGATACATGTATCTTGGAATAAATGGACTCAGAACTGGGTTAATTTTTTCTAGCTACACTCTATCCAAGTAGATTCACATGGATACATAGACAAATCTCGCGCCCTCGCCTCCCCCCATCTTGTTTGTCACTTTCTTATCTCGCTCATGTATATGATATGCGAGATACATGCTAATTACACTAGATTTTTTGCTAATGTTATTGAAACAACACCGTTATTTGTCATATTTGATTTGAAAATCTTCTGATATTATAGAACTATAAGTTTGAAAAGAAAAATGAAAAAGAAAAAAAAAGGGCTAGCCCGCCCCAACCGCCGGCCCTTCTAAGGTTGGGTTTGGTTGAGCATTTTTAGGGTCTTCCAAATGAAGGGTCAGTCCGTCTTAGCCCTTCAAATTCTTTGGCCCGCGAGGCTTGGGCTGGGTGGGGTTGGGCCGGCCTTTTTTGACAGCTCTACCAAATAGTGTAGTTTTGTTTTTCTTTTAATGAATTACACTAATTTATATGTTGTAAAAGTTTGAGTAAATTATTTTATGTATATTGAAAAGGCGGAAAATAATGTATTGTTACTGTACGTAGAAAATCTTTAAGTTCTACTTAGTTAAACATGTGGTTCTAATCAAAATTGAACCCTTTTTACCACTAGACCAAAGACAATTTTAGGTTCTAAGTGGGTTAAAATTTAATCTATTGTTATATTTGTATAGGGACAATTAAAATATGATTATATATACATTATAATTTTTGGCAAAATGAATTTGTATACTCTCTTGACACCATATAGGTTGTTTCAGACTTTATAGTACATTTTGAATTCAATTAAAATTGTGTCTATTTAAAATTTTAATAAATTAGTAAATGATGAAATGCGAAGGGCAGGTTTTTATTTTCAATTATTCCTTCCTATCATATTCATAATTGATTAAATTCATATTAGATCATTATGAACTAAATTATCTGTTTATCATGTTCTTCTGTCACTACTAGCATCGTACTTTAACGGATACTTCCTTCTTATCAGCGCCTCAACTTTGTTTACTCCCCTAAACGGCTTTCCTTGCCTACCGGTTTCAACATTAGGATGACATAGTATAGAAGTTTTCTCCTTGTTTTCAGTGTGCTAATAAACTAGAAATCATGATTCAAATAATTCTAATACATAATAACTAACATAAATTTATTCAATCATATATATGATATTCAGGAATATATGAAATTAGTTCTGCATATTTTTTGAACAATATACCTTTGCCTCTTGCTTATCCATGATATCCGAGGGTTGCTCCATTATCTTAAGTATTTTAAATATTTGAGAGAGTGTTTTTTTTTATATGAAAGTGCTTCGTTTATTCAAAGTCTGCCTTTACAATGTTTACATTTATGCCTATATATAGAAAAATAAATGACTCCTACTATTTACTATTATTCATAATCAATTATGAATAATAGTAATTTTATTTTATTGGTGTTAGCATTATATATGTGATGAATTTTATGTGACAAGATTTATTCCTCTGTATATCTAAATATGATCAACTTGATCATTTTCAAGAACATATACACCTTTTGTTTAATTCAAATATATATATAATTAATTACCTATCATCGATATATGTAATTATGTCCGTACATACTGTAGCTCATTTTTCTTTTACCTTATTATTTAGAGTGTGTTTTCATCTATTAATATGAACATAATTTTAACATTTACTATCAATAATAAAAGTTTGTTCACTATATTTAATTTTGCTATTTAATTGTTAGTATGATAGTGAGTTATCATGTTTATAAAGATATTTTATCTTTGAAAAATTATGTTATTTAAAAAAAAAATTGTACATAACAATATAGCGTACACATAATAATTTGTCCTTTTTATACAAATTTATTAGTAATTAACGTCATAAACACTTAACTAGTTTTTATAAAAATAAAAAAGTAAGGGTAAAAATTAATATATATATATATATATATGTATGTTTGTCGGTCCCCGATTATAAGTTCTCGTTGACCACGACCTATAGGAACCAGACTATCTACCGCTTCTAAACTTGTTTGCATAGGCTCGTGCACTGATTTACGTTCAATAATCCCAGGGGCATTCACTTCAACACGTCGTCGCTCGTGATCGCTTAGAGACCTCTTCCATCAATAGGTACTCCCAAGCCATCGACCACACGCCCTAACATAGCCTTTCCCGCAGGAACATCCGCAATAGATCTAGTGCGCTTGACAAGATATCCTTCTTTAATAGCAGTATCACTACCAAAGACAACAATCCCGACATTCTCATTCTCAAGATTCAAGGCTATTCTTTTCACACCGCTGACAAATTCAACCATTTCCCCAGCTTGAATCTCATTCAATCCATAAACACGTGCAATCCCATCCCCAACTGAGACCACTTGACCTTTATATATATATATATATATTCTACTATATTATAAATGCTAGTAAGCACACAGCTTCTTAACATGTCTGTGTCATCAAAAAGGGTATTACAGTCTTTCCAATTATACAACTTTGCCTGCCACGCATAGCCCAAATCTTTTACAGCTATTACCTCGCTGCTTCCTCTTCCTCTTGTCAACTCCCGCATTCAGCATCTCTGTTGAAATTGTTTACCTTCTTCGCACCTCTAGATAGTTCGGCTTGTGCAAAGCGCTTTGCTTCTCTCTGCCTGTGTAACTGTGAGTTCTATGTTTCCTCTTCGTGGTTTGTTGTTTACTGTCTTGCTTGTATGCTTTTTATTTTTTCTCTTGCCCTGTTAATAATTAGCTTTAGCTACTAAATGTTCACCAAAATTCCTCATTGAACCTTATATGAAATTTTGTATAGCTTAGAAATTTTTTTTATAAAGTACACCTGCTGATTTTACCGTTTGTTGAATATCATAACCACATTTTCGCGCAACAGAGAGTTTTTCAACGGCCAGAAACTATTATTAGTCAGCTGAGGATTTGTAATAAACTAAACTCCAATATTGGTTCCTTGGAAGAGCAAAACCAAGAAGTCCTGCAGCTTGTTGTTCATAACTCTTAGTGCTAATCTATTTATGTATCGACGAAGAAAACAAGTGTGTAAATCTAATTAAAAATTTTTATTAACTTTTAATTAATAGCGAAAGAATCTCATTCAAACAGTTGTACCCTTTACGGTTTAGCTAAACTATTCTGCTCGCTGTGACTTTGTTGCGTTCCTCTTCCGCCTTCAACTTCCCAGGCCACCAGAATTCTTCTTCTTAATTAACATACCCATTGTAACTGAGAACTAATGAATGAAAATGAACCATGAAAAATGGCAACTGATAATGTGCTAAATGGTTAGGTGTTGCTGTAATTGAAATTGGTATATAACAGTCAGGTGGCATCATATTGAATAATTAACAAATTGTTAACATAAATATTTCATACTGAAATAGATGTGCTCTTATATGCACATATACACTTTCCTCTAATAAGATTATAAGAAAGGATCTTTTGTAATAGTTAATATCTGTGATTCACATGTTATTTATACTACCTATAACAGAATTTCATTGTTCGGTAATGTACATGTAATCTTCTCATGGTAGTGTACCCTTCAACTATTTGCATATACTATTCAAAAATGTCAAGGGGTGTGTCGAATTTGCCAAAAATAGTGTATTTTTGGAGAAACCGACACGGGTGCGACATCGAAAGTGAAGAGTCCACGCAACTTAGATGTCCACTTCTTAATTAGATGCCTATACATTCTATTAATATGATATGTTGTTGTCCTTCGAAAATTTGATTTATTTTTACTGCTGTAAACATGGAAACACACAATACAGTCTCAAATTGGTTCTACTTAACAAACAAGGAAGGTAACTTCTTCACTCTTCTTGTTCTATATACTTAGTTATGACATCCAAAGCTCACGTTTCCCGTTCCATGCTGTGCTCAAATTCATTTTCCTGTTTTTACACTTGATTACAATTGGATGTACGTACTAGAGTGTGCGTCAGTGACTTTTTGTGTTTGTTGCCCATTGTTGTTAATTTACGTGATTCAGAATATACATTTAGTATGTTAACACTCAATTTATTTGCAAAGTTTTAGAGGCATGCCACAAACATCAAGTTATGGAACTAATAGTTTAGGTTGGGTTGTAAGGCGGGTGATCATGATAAACAAGCCTCTTAGTAAAATGGCTATTGAGATTCAATGTTGAGGACACTGCTTTATGGAGAAAGGTTATCACATCAAAGCATGGGCAATCTAATGAATGAGTTTCGTTGTATTAGGACATTTCTTCTATAGTAAGTCATCATTGAAGGATGTAAAAGTTACCGAGAATAAGTTGCCACTGAAGATTTCAATTCGAAAGTTAATTGTCTAGAGATGTTTACAATTTTCTTCTACGCAGTTGCTACAAATGAATTTGACAAGTCTGACTTTTTCCATGGTGAGTGTTTTATTTAAAAATATATATAAAAGGAAATGACTGAGTTTTCAAAAAAAAATCGATTAAACTTATGGTTTAAGAGAAATCGAATTTCCAAAAGGACAGAGTCGCCACTTAATTTTTACTAAAAAATCAAGAAAAAATTAAAGGTTTTCAAAAGATTTAAACAGATAAAATCAATTGAAAATAAAAGGATTCGAAGTTCAATGTACATTCCGAGAAGGTGTTAGGCCCTCGGAATGCCCGCTAACTCGCGGTTGACCGGCGATTTGACCAAAATGATTTTGACTAATTTTGAAATTTTAACTTAAGTAAAAGAATTCATTTATTTTAACTAATTATTTTTTTAAAAAAAAAATTTAACTAAGTAAAGGACTCACGACTTTGACTAATTTTGAAAGTTTAACGAAGTAAAAGAACTCATTTGTTTTAACTGATTTTTTTAAAAATTTTAAATAAGTAAATAGAATCGTTTATTTTAACTTATTTATTTATTACTATTATTTTTCTAATTAATTATTATTTAAGGGGAAATAAACTAAGGGGGATCATTCTAAAGGGGAGTGACTTAAGTGTTGACAAAATAAAAATAAAATAAAGCTAAGTATAAATATTTTAGTTTTAATATAAAATAAAGTGAAGTGGCCATCTTTGGGAATTTAATTAACTTAAACCAAGATCAAGATAAAATGTTAGCCAAGTACCATAAACAAGTAAATAAGAGCAAGGAAGGAAAATATTGAATTTGGGCCTCCCCAACTCTGTTGGACCAGTTAGGCAAAACAAGATTGAGCTTTGGCCCATTTTCGCCCCTCTTTCACACTTAAAATCTGTGTATACGTCGAACGTATACTACTGTATACAGTACGTGTTTCAGCTCCCTTTTGTGTATATCGGGCCGTATGTCGAACGTATACAGTCTATTTTGACCCCTGCACCTGCATTTCTTTTTTTTGGACCTGTATATCGCTATTTCTGCCATGTATATTAGTGTATACGGCTGTATACAACCTGATTTTAGCTTTCCAGAACACATTTTGATTTCCAGCCCCTGTTTTCCATTTTTTCGGCTCTGTTCGTCGGTTTCAAAATCCGATTGACTCGAGGAAAAAAAAGGATAGGGCCCCTAAGGCCCACTCAACGAAATGCGAGAAAAACGGGCCTCCAAGGACTCGAGAGGAGCCGGTTCATACATAGAAGATTAAAACAAGAAGAAATTAGTGATGGAGCGCACTTTAAATCTTTACTATACAACAAAGACACGTAAAATAAAAGTAAGGCAAAGTTGCATGTGATTAGTTCCCTATGCCAATGTTTATGCCAAGATGACCAAGGAAAACATACGATGTTTATAGAATATTTCTCTTGGAATTAAACTAACTCCCATATGATAAGATATTAAAATGATGATTAAAGATAGGCAATTAAACTAGCGATGTTCAAATGAATAATGAGCTTATGCTTAATTATCTAGACAAAGACAAAGGATAAGGAAACAACTATCAACCAAAAATGGAGTGAACTGCTGGAGTTGATGTTATTAAGTCTAAAAGCAAGGTGGAATGTCACAAACAAGAGTAAGCAAATTGAGTTCAACAAGTAAAGAGTAAGGCGGAAACTAGTTTAAGATAAAGTAAACCACCATCTTCGAAACAAATTTCCTTCCTAACATGCGGCAATCCACAAACGATGACGAAATATGGAATCAGCGTCTCACACCACCAAGAAAAGGGAAGCAGTAGACACATATATTAATGGAATGAAACTGAACATTTGAATATGTGCAAATCAGTGAACAAAGTTTTCCAAGAAAGATACTGTTTTTGCAGAAATTTAGACATGAATAAAAGATGGATTTTTAGCATTTTTTCACAACTTCAAAATAAAGAAAGAGGGAGGGATAAAAAAGTAGATGAACCACCGGAAACAAAACCCGATTCTAAGGCAGCAACATCACAAGCTCGTCCATTCATTGCAAACAAAGAAATCAAGTGGCAAACATGTTCGGATTACTTAATCAATATGATAACTACTTGAGATAGGTCCAGAAATTTAATGCCACAACATATTAATACAATGAGATGCTTAAAAAGTGAACCTTAAGGCCTCTTAAAACAAAAACTCCCATTGCCTACACATTTCACAAGACACATTCAACTAGAATACACAACAAAAACCTTAAACAAACCCAAGCATTAAACAAACAAAGCAAAGAACGACTAGAAGATATTATTGGAAAGAACACTCATATCCAAAACGAATTAAGACTAGAAGAGAATTTCACCTTTACGAGGGCAGTGAACCGAGACAGAGCGAGCAGGGGGATGGCAACTTCACTACCACGACGAGGTTCCGACATGTTTTTCCAATGGCAAGCACAAAAGAAAATCTTTTATCGATTCTAGCTTGAGTATAACTACTGATTTTTCCTTGTATGTCTTCTTGTATTTATATTTTATTTTATTTTATTTTTGAAACTTTCTTCAACATAAACTTTTCAAACTCCAAAAATTCCCCCTTAAACTGAAACGAAAAAAGGAATATATAGAAGGAGATAGGGTTCGATTTTTGGGGGAAAAACGGATCCAAATCTGGACAAAAAGAGCCCAAATTCAAATTCAAACTTCAAAATTTCTTTCACCAAATTAGGCGAACACCTTTTCCTTGCAATTTTCACCCCATTCCGGAAGAGGAAAGGGGGGAAAACGCGTGCCCTGCTCCTCTGCTGCTGCGATGTACGACTTTCTGGAGAAGAAGATGTAGAGGGGTCGGTTTTTGGGCTACTGTACGCGTGTGTTGTTGATTTCTTTTAGTGTTGCTATGTATTGTTAGTATGTATTGGTAGTGGGGTGTTGGACAGGTTGGAGGAAAAGGAGAAAATGGGCCAATTTTTGGGTTATTTAATGGGCTGCTGGAAAGGATCTGAATTTGGCCCAAAGTTGGTCTTTAAAAAGAATTGGATGCAAGGTAGGAAATGGGTTAAAATTGTAATAAAATGGCTAGGTTTTGAATTGAGGATTTGGCCAAAAGAATTGCAATTATAACCGATTAGGATTACAAAATTAACCAAATCAGATTTACTTGGAGAATGTGGCTGAAAAATATAAATAAATAAATAAATAAGATGAATTTAATATTAATTAATTAACGAGCTTC